GTTCTGGAGCGGTGTGCAAATATTGTGCTATATTTTATCATAACTTTACCGGTAAAGGTGCACATCAAAAACCCGGCGTATTAGTAACAAAACCATTCAATAAATGGAAAAATGCAATTGAAATTTTTAGCACGCATAAGGACACAGAGTATCATAAAAACAACGTTTTTTTTGCTGAAAATTTTATTTCCATATATTGCAACAAACAGTTAGATATTTGTCAAAAAATTGATTCGGCACGTGCTAATCAAATAGTTGAAAATAGAAAAAAATTAACACCAGTTATTCAAACAATAATTTTGTGTGGTCGTCAAGAATTGGCTCTTCGTGGTACATCTGATTCTGGACCACTCACTTTAAATGAGCCAGTTCACAATGATGGTAATTTTAGAGCTCTTCTGCGAATGCGAATGAACTGCGGTGATAAAATGATGACTGATTGTATTGAAAATGACACATTTAAAGCTATGTATTTAAGTCCTACTATTCAAAATAATTTAATTGATATAATTGGAAAAATAATTCAAAATTGTTTAGTGGATAGAATCAATAGGGCAAAATCATTTTCAATTTTAGTAGACGAGACGACTGATATATCGCGAATTGAACAAATGTCACTTTGTATTCGATATATCGATGAAGATCCTGAACATCAATTCATTTTACGTGAAGATTTTTTAAAATTCGTGTCGGTAGAAAATACGACTGGTAAAAATTTAGCCAATATCATTTTAGATAGTATTAAATCTCTTGGAATAAATCCGAAGTATATGGTAGGACAAGGATACGTCAGGGCGGCTGCAATGAGCGGAAATTTCAAAGGAGTGCAAGCAATTATTCGAAAAGAATATCCGGCCGCACTTTACGTACAGTGTAGTGCTCATTCANCGCTTTACGTACACTGTAGTGCTCATTCTTTAAATTTGGCTCTCTCTCATTCCTGTAGTATTCAACATATTCGTAACTGTATTGGTACCATAAAATCGGTGGGAAATTTCATTAAAGGTTCAGCAATACGAACCGAAATTTTAAAAAAATACATCAAAGAACAATTTCCTGAATCTAAGTGGACCAAACTTACATCAATGTGCGAGACACGTTGGGTAGAAAATCACGACGGACTAATAAGATTTACAGAAATTTATAAGATAATTTTTAATACATTGGAAGAATTACAGTTCACTCGTGATATTGAAACGTCATCAAAAGCATTACAATTTGGAAAAACTATTATAACGAGTGATTTTGTAATAAGTATTGTCTCAGCATCTATACTTTTTTCCTTAACATTGTCACTGTGTAAGAATTTACAGTCTGTAAATTGTGATTTAACCGAAGCAATGGCGTATGTTGATATTGTGATACACGAAATAAATGATATGCGAAGTAATATGGATAATACTTTTTCCAATATTTTTAAAAAAGCTGAGGCTTTTATAAAATCAATTAATGACGAAGAATGTATAAGAATACCTAGAATTGTTGGACATCAAAAAAATCGAAGTAATATTGTCGTGAATTCACCTGAAGAATACTACCGTATTACAATAGCTATTCCTTTTTTTGACGACTTCATTGAACAGCTTCAAACAAGGTTCAATAATCATAAAAAAATAATTTCTTCATTGCACAAGTTATTACCAAAAACATGCGATAAATTTGAAATTGATTTAAATGATTTTGAAATATATTCAGAATTTCTGGATTTGGAAGTACTGCCACAAGAAATTAAACTGTGGAAAAGAAAATGGACTGACGAACTAGATGTAGACCGTCCAAATTCGGCTATCGAAGCGTACATTAAATGTAATTATGAATATTTTCCAAATGTATCTTTTCTTTTGAAAATATTAGCTACATTACCAGTTTCGACTTCTACACCAGAGCGCTCATTCTCTACTATGAAAAGGCTAAAAAACTTTTTACGAAATTCATTTGGTCAAGAACGTCTTACAGGTCTAGCACTTTTGAGTGTGCATAGACAAATTAAAATAAATCCAGACGATGGCATCGACAGTTTTGCAAAAGAAAAAAAAAGACTGATAGACTTTGTGCTATAAAAATGTATTATTTTAAAATTTAAACTGAAAAATGACTCATAAAATTTTGTATTGTATTGTATTATAATTTTGTATTTTAACTTTAGTATACTTCAAAAGGTAAATTTTGTAAAATAATGACAAAGGTAGGTCATAACATAAAGTATAATATCTTGTTGTATAACCTAACTTAATAGTAAGACAATTTTTTTTTGTTTATGTAATGTATTAGTATTTTTTTAAAATTATTTAAAAACATATAATTTGGTTAAAAACCCGCCCCAAAAATTTGTTCCAGTTACGGCCTTGNGTTTTCTCCGAATTGAAATAAGAATAAAAAGAAACAATTATCAGTCACAGCCCTGTGTTGTTGTCGGCTGACTTTTACGCGTTTTATTTATATATGAAAAGAACTTGTTTTAATTATTTATCTTTTGAAGAAGTGCGAATTAAATACTTTTAAATATATATAAACATATCGAGATATTTATCAAATCATTTTACAGCAATTTGCAAGAATAAAAGAAGTAAGTAATTTTATGTTATCCCAATTATTTGGAGTTAATAAATTTGAGTAAAGGATGACAAAGCAATAGATCATTTATTAAATTAATATCTTAAAGTGTCAATTTTGACTGGTTGGTTAAAGAAGTTATACATAATCACGTTATATGGTATTCGTGAACTGGCTCTGCCGTTTCGTTGCCTTACAGATGTTTTAAAAAACCTAGCGTGATTTCTACTGTATAAGTTAAGCTCTGGTATTCGTGAACTGGCTTCGCCGTTTCGTTGCCTCTTAGTTAGGACATTAGAAACTAACCAGACAAAACTTTATTACACCTCGAATAGAGGTACTATGTCTATTATTTTTATATCTACTTGTCTTTGTCGTTCTAAACCCTCGAACCATACGACCCCGATAGAACCACAACATCAGGTTCTCACTGTACCCATCACCCATTGCTCATTTTCATAATTTTTATTTTATCGATTATTGCTTATTATTTTTGAATTATAACACAACTATGCAACGACCCCTCTATGCCGCGACCCCACTGTGCTGGGTTTTTTTTATAAAATTTTGTATTTAATGATATCAATTTTAAACTTGCAAATTTAACTAAAAAAGGTTAAATATTCAATAATTTTAGATGTTAAACTTTCATAAAAATCAACTTTAAAGGACCAAAAATAGGTTAAACACGGAATTTTCAATCAAAAATTTGCATGGAATATTTTTAACATATTAAAAATTATAATCAATTTTTAAAAGTAAATACTCGTTTTTATAAATTAATAATAATGAAAAAAAAAGAGGAAAATGGAAAAATCTAATTTCAGTGATTCAATTTAAATTTGATAAGGATCCAAGGAATTTTAAATTTTTTTCCATCTCAAAAAGAATTAAGAAGAAAATGCAAAAAAGAGCCATTTAATGAAAGTATCCTTCAAACGTCTTACCCCGAGTGTGAAACACTGAAATGTGAATGACTCAACAACCGTAAATCACAAGTATATTCGTATAAAAAGAACAATTTAAGCTAGTTAGAAAATTCAAAGTCGTTTCTTTTAACGTAGGAGTAAAAATGTTAAAAATAAGTTTAAATTTATATTCAATTAAGTTAGATTCATATAACTTTTATAAAATTGATGGACTCATTACTATGGCAAATCCTTTTAAGGTATTTTAATATAAACATGATATAGAAATATAAAATCAAAAACTTGAAATCGAGAATTTTTACCCAAAAATAACATACTTTTGAATACGGCAGTCATTTTTACCAACAAGATAAACTTAAGTTAAAGATTTTTTTTTATATTTAAGTTTAATACATATGCTATAATTTAAGATATATATTAGTCAGTATTTTTGAAAACTTTTCAAAAGTAAAATATAATAGGTTAATTTTTTGTAAAAAAGTTATCTATTTGATTCCTCCCTGTAGTCAGGTGAATGGTCAGATTTTCAAAAATAATATACCAAATATTAGGTAAATATCAAATGTATATATAAAAAATAAAATTGTTTTGATCCATACATTTTTGAAAAAGTTATGACATTTTTAAGTAAAGGAAGTTAAAATAATGTCGAAAAATACCGATTTTTAATAAAAGAATAGTATTTACGTGAAAAAGAGTGAAATTTGTTCAATTTTTGAGGTTAATGTCTGCTAATAGATATGATTTCTAATTTTTGACGTATCGTTTAAAGAAATCGATCTAGTAAGAGCTAAGAATGAGTGGTAACAGACACAAAAGAAAAATTTATAGTAAAATTAATACCTTCTTAGCTTGGCATCGAAGCTAATAAATGTCTAATTATCAAGCTGAGAACACAATATGAAGTGTAATACCTATGGACAACAGTTATTGAGTTTAAAAAAAATTAGAAAAATACATTTATTTTCAATTTATTAAAAACAAAAATAGTAAAATTTATATCACATTAATAATTTTATGGTTTAATAATAGAATTTTAATTATTTACAATTTCAGTACAAACTTAGTTATTTTACATGTAAAATTCCCCTAAAACTACTGGATTTATTGTTCTGATGTGTTGTTAAAATATAATCATTAATTTTCTATTGAATGAATGTTTGATACGACTTGTCCAAACTGCTTTACAAAAGAAAAAGATTTGATCAGAAGATACAGGTATTCATAGAATAAGATCTGAAAAAGATGATGTTGAGTTTCATGATATATTTCTTGCATTAATAATCGCAAAATTAATTTCGTCTTCTACTACATTGAAATAATTGCTCAATTAATTTTTGTTTAAAATTAATATTAAAGTACACCTAGCACATTGGGGTCGCGGCACAGTGGGGATGTGGCATAGTTGGGTCCAGTATAAATGATATCTGATAGTAATTAAAATCACTATCATAAAAAACTCATGGATCCAAATCTGTAGATATTGTTTAATTTAAAAAAATTAATGAATTATTCCAAAAGCTACATGATCTCTTATTTCATTATTTACATTCTGATTACAAGTTTTATGATTTATAAGTGTAATATATGAATAAATAAATATATACAGAGTGATCGAAATCTGGTAAGACATTTATTATTATATTATATATTATAAGAAACTATTGAGAATTTAAAATTTTTGTAAAAAGAAAAATTATTAAGTTTATAAAACTCTACAATAATAGGAAGTTAAATAAATTTTTGTTTAGGGGTAAAAATGTTTATTTATAATTTTTTTAAATGGGAACCACTATTTATTAACACGCTTATATTAATTTCACTTGTATGTTGTGGGTTTGTTTGTAAATCTCCACGCGCCACGTGTTATTATTCTCGCGTATCCCGTCGTCTATGACCTTGAGACTAGACTGTCAAACGCATTTACCCCACCCCACTCACCACTCGACAATAACAATGTTTTCCTACAAAATTTTATTTTTGGTTTTCGAACCCGTACACGCGTGCCTGTCATTAATTATATTTATACATAAACAAATTTTTATTTGACTGACCAATACCGCCCGCGACTAATGCGCCTTACGTATATATATTTATATATTCCTACCGCCGCTAACGCCGTTTATACCTTAGTTATAACGTTCCCCCCGCCCACAAAACACGGCTATACCACGTGCATTATACGTTTACGTACTTAAGTCGCTTTACATGTATATATATATATTCTAATTACTATTAAAAATATATATTAACACGCTTTATTCTCATTAAGAGATATAATGTGTATTCATTCCGATTACAAATGATGATTCCCGTATCGTCATTTTTCATCACTACCACCATGTTCCGGGAGTGGGTAATTTACGCGTCTGCTGCTTTCCTTGGATGTGGGAGCCGTTTCTCAGACTCCCTCCCAGGGATCGAACCCTGTTTTCCCGTTACCCGTTACAACTATGATATTGATAGTAACTACTATCATAACATGAAACTAAAAAGTGAAAAATAAATATAGTTTAAAAAAACTAATGAACCACGCTTTTAAAGCACATCGAACTAAAAAGTTAAAAATAATTTTTAAAATAAGCTTAAAACAATAATACTAGTATTTTTCGTTCAATATTGTTTTAAGCTTATTTTACAAATTATTTTTAACTTTATAGTTCCATGTTTGTTTAGTTTTTTTAAACTATATTTATTGTTAGATCCTTTAATCTACAAAACCATAGACTTAGATTAATAACACACCGAAAACTCGATTTGAATCTATTATTGTTATCACTCATTTAGTTCGTAGTAAATTTTTATAACTAATTTACCTGTCATAACTTGATCAATAAAATTTGGTTTATGCAACAGCAAATAAAAATAATGACTTCTGTATTTAATACAGTAAAATGACAATAGAAATTTGGCTTAAAATCGCTTAATTTTAACGGATGAACGGTTAATCGGATAAAAAAAATTATAAGAACAAAATTGTCTGTAATTTTTTTTTCTATCAAAATATAAAGTTAAAAATAAGAGTTCCCATTTATGAAAATTATAAATAAGGGTTTTTATCTTTGAAGGGACGAAAAAAATAATGGTTTTACTAAATATTATTGTAGAGTTTTTTGAATTTGATATTTTTTCTCTATAATAAAATTTAAAATTCTCAATATTTTCTGAGAAAATGAGTGTCTTACCAGATTTTAATCACCCTGTATATATATTAATAATATATAAATATAAATAGTACTTATCTTAAAAAATATAATGATTCATACATTTTTCAAAAAATTATAGCATTATAGAGTTTAAAAAGAATTTTTTTTACAAAAATCGTATTTTTTATTAACTTTGATGACTGTTTTCATCATGAAAACAAAATAAAGTCCGGAATTTTTTTTTCCATAATAAAGTACATTACATTAGCTTTAATTTAAGATATATATAAAAGTGTCAGACCTTCCGGAACACTTTCAAAAGTTACGTTGAAAAAGTTGTCATTTTAAATCCCCCATGTGGGCAGATAAAGGGTCAGATTTATAAAAAAAATATACCAAATGATAGGTAAAGACATCAAGCATCTATAACAATAAATTATATTGATTTAATCGTTATTAAAAAAGTTATAGCAGTTTATAGCAAATAAAAATAAGTTTTAATAATGTCGAAAATTACCGTTTTTTAATGTAGTAATTTTTTCGAGGGTTCCCCTATATACGTGAAAAGAGGGAAATTTTTTTAATTTTTGACGGTAATATCTTCGACTAAATACGATTTGTGATCTTTTGTCGTATCGTTGAAAGAAATCGATTCGGCGAGAGCTGAGAAAAAGTGATAACAGACACAAAAAAAAAATTAAATAAAAAAATAAACACATAGTAAAATTAATATCTTCTCAGCTTCGCATCGAAGCTAAAAGTTTACCGAAATTACTAAGCTGCCAATTTTAAACAGTTAATTAATAAAAGTGATTGTCAATTGCTGTATAAACGAAATGTATAAATGACTGATTGATAGATTTAGTACCAGTAAATCGACAAAATGTATGTCTTTTGACATATTTCTAAATACTTGATATATAATTTTATTATATAAATCATATATTTTAAATTTAATCATTTTCATGACTAATTAAGGTAACATACGTTTTCATATATTTTTTCAAGTTTTGTTTTTTAGACTATATGCGCTTTAAATATCTTTCATTGTAAACATAAAAATAAAAGTTTAATTTATATACCTTCGTTGACAGACGTTTTATTATATTTTAACTGATATGATTTTACAGCTGTACCAAACATAAAAAAATATGGTATCCACTTTTTTTAAAGCAATACGCAAATAAATGTCGACTTACTTTACAAAAGACAACTATTAAAATATAAACTTAAAATAGCATCTTCAACATTCCGTTGACTAAACAAATCGCGATTTATTTATTATGTACAAAGTTAAAAAATCGAAATTCTATGTTTAGAACAAATGCGTTTTTTTATCTCATACGATAATATGGCAATTACTATGCATCATATTACTTACAGGCAATGTTGATAACATGGCATACCTACAGTGAATTTATTGAGATAAATTAAATGTGTAATATTCATATAATGACGCCGGATGGACAATTCTCTATGCGAACATAAGTAATTGATGGTAAACTCGTCAAAGTTCCCCACTGACAACACTTCTGTACAAACTGCTTAGCTAGGTCACCACACCATGAGCGTTGTATTAAAAACGGATCTTGTCAATTTCTCTGTTTGCGGCAGTCACATTGTACTTGCACTTGTATTTGCGACCACACCGACATTGTTACCAACAGTTAAAAACTATAGCGATCGTCGTTAGTCATGCTCAGATAAGATTTCGAATATAAAAGTTACCTACTTTTGATTAAATTGAATGTTAAAAGTAAGTAATTTTACATTATGTTTACTAATATAAAAGCATTTTTTTTTTTTTTTAATAGAATAATTCCTTCATTTTCAATAACATGTTTTTATATTAAAATAAAAACTAAAAAAAATAATGTATGTTGTTTATTTATAACTTTTACAAAATCTGTTCATCACCTTTCGTATAATATTTTGGATCTCATTACTAAACTAAAGGAATAACGCCCAACAAAAACACTAAAATTACTACTTTAAGAATTAAAATGTTAAAAGAATTAAAATACCTTTAAATTTTTACACATATTATTATATTTAAACTATTACCAATGGCACTGGAGCCGGTGGATAGGTGATAGTAATTCCTCAGTTAAAATACGACAGGGTAGAAGTATCATTTTGTCTCTTCAATTAAACCAACAAAATATTATTACTGTCAAAGATCTGTTTTCGGTAAAAAAATTTTCTCTAATATTTTGATTTTAAAAAATCGTTAATTTTTTTTCAAATTTTTTTAAATTCTATTATAAATTGTGACTTATTGTTATTACAGCAGCAAACGAAAAAAATAGTGATATTAGAACTGATCGATTTTCAAACTGAAACCAATATCCCAAGTTCGGTTTGGTTTGGTTTAAATATCAATCTTAAAATTTAATACAAAACGTTTGAATTATATTTTGATAAATCGGTTAGAAAATTGAACAAGTATATTCAAATATCATACTGAAAAAGGATATAGTAATTGATTTTCGAATGAAGTCTGATCAAATATTTGGAATTTTTTGTTCAGTTTGGGTATAACTGAAAAATTGAAAATTCTGTTCAGTTCGAGTTCGATTTTAAAATTGAAATTTTAACAATAGGTTTCTTACCTATCGTTTAATTTATTACAATCTGCCTACTAATAGCCTATTTTAAATATTATAGTACTAGTCTTATAAATTTGTTGGGAAATTTAATATTTTTAAAATGATTGAGAGATGTCCAGACACAAGTCAAAAATATTAAATTTTTATTTAACCAATATTATTAGAATATTAGACCTAGGGGCTGATATCAACTATAAAAGAAAATAATTATTTAATATTAAATATTAGATACCTCTAATATATACTATTTAATGACTCATTCCGTAATCTTAATTTGGACATACAATTTCTAAAGTAATTATGCTATATTTAAATTATAGAATACATGAACTAATTTCGTAGTTTGTTGTGTTTAAATAAATTAGCACCAAAATATCTCAAGAAAAAAAAAAATTATTCTAAATTTAATTTTTTTAAGAAATTTCTAACTTATAGAACATATATGTTATATAGAAATTATAACATTTATTTTTTAACTATTGCATGCATTATAATAATTATTATACTGCTTACAATAGTTACAAAATTGTATAGGCTTAAGCTTATAAAATCGATCCGTTGGAGAATTTTGTAATATATTAAAATATATTCTATATTATCGACTACATATTATTAAAAAATGTTATTTACGCCCCATACATTTTAGGTGCCTCATATATTATTAATATTTGTATCAGTTAATTATAATATGTTCCTTACATCCATACTGACGTCAATCACATTATAAAACAAGCATTTTGTAACATTTAAAATACTCATACACTACATGGCTGGTGATTTTTAATAAAAGAAAACTTAAGTGCATTCAAGGTAAACAAATTTAATCTTCAAAATGTCACCTCGAACTTGATGAACATTGAAAGAAATTTCAATAGTGTCTCTTGTCGAATGTGTAGCAAGGTCTGTAATGTATTCTGCTGTGTAGTGTAGTTTGTACATACGTCATATATTGTGCTTCTTTGATGAATGATGATGGTCCGTCTTTCTTCTTGTCAGTTCATAGTTGGCTATTATATGAATTCAAAATATTTTGTTACAATGTTCGTGGACGACTATTGTTGACGGGTTTCCTACCTTTATTTATATAATTTAATTTTTTTTTTTGCAGAAAATCCTTTATTTAAAAACCTTGGAAAACACTTGAAATATTTAACTCAAATCAAAAATGAATATTGTAAAAAATAATTCCTCTACTTAATACGACTTTGTTAATTACAATACAAATATGAATATTTTTTAAACCGCATATGATATTTATTACCTATATTACACTTACTAATCTTTCAATACACAATCAAGAAACTTGATTACAAATGAGTAATAAATTTACCATGTGAGGTGAGTAGACTTAAATGGGACGCGAAGCATTCATTTAAAATTATTATAAAAACGTTAATATTATAAAATCAAACATAAATAAATAAAAAAAATTAATTTTGTTTTTATTAATTTTTATAACTTTTACTGTCAATATTTATGAAAATTATTCTTATCGGAAGCTATAGATAATTTACAAAATATTACTTGCCATTGCTGCTTACATTGGAAAAATATCACAGATTTTTTATATCGTCATATTTTAGTATTCTATATTGTTGTATTTTTTAGTCATAAATAAAACTAGTAACTATCACATTACAACGATTATGCACGTACAATGTTTTAGTATCTGCAAAAAATTTCTATGAAACTGGTCTTTGTCAAAAGGTTTACAAGTTTATACTTTAGGCATAGATGAAAACATTTTATGACCTAAAGCACAAAATTAATTAATTAAAATAGATTTTTTGGTATCTAAAATAGCTTAATCAATATACTACACTTTAAATAATATCAATGACAATATCCTAAAGCTTGCCCTAGGACTTAGCAATATAATAAGAGAAAATTTCTCTTATTATATTGTTAATTTAATTTTAAAATGAAATTTTTTTGAATGAATAAGTAATTTAAAAATTTACGATAAATTTTAAAGAATATTTGTCGTTTTTGTTTCGTGTTGCCAAATTTACATCTAGAATATAACGAATAGATTATAATTTAAAATAATAAGAGAATTAATTACTTAATAAAAAGAGTATTTTAACTATATAAAAATCATATTTGTATTGTATACGTTTTCCCGTCTTCTCGTCCACAAGAATTTAGTTATTAGCTAAGAGAACATTAAAAAAACATAATTTACAAAATCTAATGATGGGAAATATGGAATAGTACCTATCGAACTATTCGATAGTTATCCAATATATTCGAATATTTATTCAAACTATTCGATAGTTTATATAATTATTTGATAGTTTATTAAATATTTGATAGATTAAAATATTCAAAAATGCCCGTCTCTAACAATATCATTTGTAGAATGTTTTGTATATGATTTTGTCATAGCGCTGTATTAAGATTCTTAATTTCAATTTAACACTTTATAGAATTGTATTTGTTTTTTGTATCTTACAAGTCCAACATTTCTTTTTGATTTTAAACAATAATGGAGAAATCTTATACAGAATAGTTGGTTTATAGTTAACCATTCGATTATACGCAATATAAATACAACATTGGAAAACTAACTTTTGATCTCTTTTTGTCACAAATAATTCTTGATTTATCAACTATTAATTATTTTTAGAATCATCCCTTATAAAAATAAGGATGTGAACTTTATTTTTATAAATGACAACATACATTTTTTATTAATTTATAAAATAGACAATTATCTAATTAAGAAAATTACTGGTTGGTAACAACTTATGGACTAGTATTTTGGAATTTATTCTCATTTTTACGCCTAGGCAGGACGATGAGTACGACAAGGAAATGCCTAATGATAAAAGTAGCAGTACCCACTCCTCAGCTCCTGTATATACTTTAATTTGTTTATAATTTCAGGTGTAGAATTTTTCATCATTTTCCAAAAGTTGTTATCGACCAGTCATTTTCTTAATTAGGTTATTTCCTGTGTTTTAAATTAATTAAATATTTATATTTAATAAAATAAAGTTGACACTCCTTTAAGTTATAAGGGATGATTTTAAAAAGTAATTATTAACTAACAAATCAAGAATTATAAATAACAAAAAAAAATCAAAAATTATTTTTCCAATATTGTATTTATTTTGCGAGTAATCGGGTTGGGTTGGGTTTGGTTTATAATAAACTGATCACCCGTATATTTTATATATCTTATTTATAAATATTTTAAAAATCTACGGTTTATAGAAAATAACTATCCAATTTATGTTTATCAAATATTATTCATAAAAATAAAAACATTTTAAAGGATATATTGGTATAGTTACAAATAAATTATTAATTCATATTTTTTGACGGTTTTCCAGTGACGAGCGATAAAGAAAAACAATATAAAGAACACGAGGTGGTCGATATCAAAGAGGTCGACCCCGTTCAACATGCTGTAGGCGATTTTGGTTGGTGGCAATTTTGGATCGCATTCTCCTTGTCCTTGTTGAAGTTTCCTATTGCTTGGCATCAATTGGCAATTATATTTTTGGCGGCCAAAACTCCATTCAAATGTGATGACAATGTTATCCACACGAACCTCACCATTGATGATAGGTGTAGCACCCGCGACCTTATCACTGGTGACATCGTTGCATGTAATCGATTTATCTATGACAGGTCCGTCTTTCAGGAGACCATAAATACTGAGGTAAATTTGAAGTGTTTTCCAATTATGTTGCTGTCCGAGTTTTATTTAAAAAACGCATTTATATTTTTGTCTAGTGGAACTTAGTATGCGGCAGATATCAATTGTCCAACGTAGCACAATCCGTCTTCATGTTGGGAGTGTTGATCGGTAACGTCTTATTTGGCGTGTTTGCTGATAAGTGCGTGTATATTATACACTTAAAAAATGTCTAACAATTAGAGAAACTATTTTTTTATAATGTAGAATAATGACAGCTAATTGGTTTAGAATAGATTTTAAAATTAATTGATTTTATTAAAATTACAATAATTGCTGTAATATAAAAATTAAACATAGTATTCATATATAAATATAGTATTCATGATAGTTTATAAAAAAAATAAATTCTCAGGAAGAGTTAACAAAATAACTATCAATATTTCGTTGAATACTAACAAACTTATTGAATTCGAAATACTATTATTTTTATTGTATTAGGGTTAAATAATAAATACTGAAAAATATCCATTTTTCTAACGTTTGGTAATTGGAATGATATAGTAAGAATGATGTTTATCAAAAGACGTAATTATAATATTAAAACTTCTTGTTTCAGGTACGGACGAAAATTGCCTATGATATTTTCTATTGTCTTATTACTTGTAGCTGGAATAGGCACATCATTAGCACCTTGGTACGAATTGTTTTTGCCACTTAGATTTGCGACCGCAGTGGCTATTGGAGGACTGATGATTACTAGTTTCGTTTTAAGTGAGTGGTATATTGAAGTTATAAATATATAAACAATTTTATTGCTTCACGTCTCAACATAATAAAAAAATTGTTCCAAAGGATTTAACTTGAGCTATATACATTAAAAAAAAAACTAGTACAGTAGAGTCGCGCGGGACAAGTATAGATTTCTGACAATGATTAACATTACAGCTATAAAAAATGCTTCGATGCAAATTTGTTAAATTTCACAAAAATTTATATAAATTTTTTTACAATTTCTATATAATTTAGAATTCCACATAAACATTAAATGCTTGTTAAATAATTTGCTTAATTGAAAGTAACATAATTTTTTTTATAAAAATTGCGGTTTTTATCACTTTTACAGCTAATTTTTCAAAGTTAAACAATTGTCGAAACAAATTTTTCTAAAATGTTTTAATATTTTTAAAAGGCTTTAATTTGATATAAGTTGAAAATTGTCAGACCTTTTGGGATTTTTTTAAAAAATTGAGTTGAAAAAAATATTTTACATGCGACGTGGTTTCTTTCAAACCCTTTCTGTACTTTTTATCGTATTTTCACAAGAAGTAAAACCAAAGAAACCTTATTTTATCTAATATACATTATTAAAATTTTATTTGGACCATAGTTTTTAAAAATAATTATATCAATTTTAAGTAAGATGCAAAAAATAAAAATTATAATCCATTTTTTTCTGTAGCGTTATTTTGTAACATTTTCTAAAATTTGTAAATTAAAAGTTTTTTGAATATTTTGGCGGCGATAAGTTCAATTAGACTAAAATCGTCTTCTTTTATCGTGTCACTTCAATAAATAGCTCTAACTGGTCCTATTTCAATAAATAGGATCAGTTAAAGCCGATAATTTTCATGCACACACCATTTTTGTAATGGTGCGAGAAGATATTGTTTTTGTATCAATATCTTCTCGGCGTTGTATTAAAGCTAAAACATAAATATAATTTAATTTTCATACGCTACAATACATTTTGAATGTTTTGTATTATATTGTATTTATGTGCAAATTATATATCGAAATCTGATTTCGTGTAGTATCTAATCATATGATAAATATTATACAATGAGAGCAAATATATAATAATGATTTGGTAATTTTGAAAAGTATCATACAAACATCATACATGTACGATTTATTGTTATATCATTTAATTTAAATGTATAGCAACCTTGAAACACGCAAAATCATCTTCTAGGGTAATTGACTGTGAATGCTGTCAAACTAAGCGGTAAACCACATAATTACATTTTTTTTGTAATACGGAAACTTAAACCTTTTCTATTTATGCAAAAATTTCTGATTATTTCCCATATTTATACACTTAATTTTATATATTTGACGATATACATTTATTTAATTATCTATATGCATTAATTGTATTTATATGACAAATATGCATGAAGTTTTATGATACTGTTTATTTGTTAAGTTCAATTATTCTGATTGTGTGTAACTATTTTATATGTTTTAAGTAACGTCTTGAAATAAAGAAATCAGTTGTTTCATTGTATTTAAAAAGCTTTTCTCTTCTATAAATATTTATTAAATAGGTTCTACTTCTTTTTTACATACTAATAAACGTGGTCTCGAAGTCAAACAACTAACCTCCAATATCTCGGAACCTGGAGGTTTGATTGACAAGGATCAAATCACAAGCCATGACCATCTATACAAATAGCCGTGAACCTCGACAGTTCATTAATTTTTGTCATCGATATCATTCATAAATAAACGGAGACGGATAATTAGTGACCATTTATAATTATTACATACGTCAACTATAATTAATCAATTATTTTTCGTTGTTCATAACAGTAATCCATATAGGTATAAACTATGTAATTAATAGCATGATAGTTTTATTAAATGACTAATACTTTATTTTTGGTTTTCTTTGAAATTATTTTGTTAAAAATCTACATAAAATTATGTAGTTATAAATAATAATTAATTATACCCCAGCTGCGTTATATGTCAGCTAAAAGTTAGGTCACGAAAGTAACACGTGATATGTTTACATGAATATACTTAGGAATCGTTTTCTACTATAATAATTCTTTCTGTGTGTAATAAATTAATTGTGAGGTTATCGCGCTATAAGTATACTTCGAATATTGTATAATAATGTTCCATTCGTGCGTTAATCGATGACATAAATTGTAAATGCACCTCTGGCTATAACTTGTAAATTTTTGCCAACTAACTGTACAAATAAAAATTATGATATAATTATTTATAAAAACGTTGTTTTGCTATAGCAATGGAAGTATTAGGTGGGAAATGGCGGACCATCGTAAGCACATTACATCACATCCCGTTCAATTTAGGGCACACGAGTATGGGTCTCATAGCGTATTTCCTTAGAAATTGGAGGCAATTTCAATTGGCCATTACTTTACCAGCACTTCTTTTTTTATCATATTGGTGGTAATATAATTGTATATTTTAATCAAATTAATCCGCTTTATTTCAATAACATCTCACAAGTAGGACCGGCGAAGACAAAATGGATACATTTTCAAAAGTTTCATTTATTATTTAATGAATTAATAAACTTTTACAGTACTATTAGGTAAACAAATTAAACGAATATATATTCTGATCACTTGAATATATTGTCTAACGCCGGTTCAAAGACTAGGTCATTATCAATTAACAGTTTATAATAGTTGTAATATGTAATAGGGTAATCCCTGAAAGTCCACGTTGGTTGTTAGCTATGGGTAGAAAAAAAGAAGCATGTAAGATATTAACAACTGGTGCAGAACACAATAAACGGAAGTTAAATAGTAATTTTGAAAATCTGATGGAAATAAAAACTGAAAAAATTGAAGAAAACAAAGCAAATTTATTTGATTTGTTTAGAACGTCTAATTTACGAACAAAAACACTAGCTGTTTTTTTTAATTGGGCCGTATGCGGTCTGTGTTTTTATGGACTCGCGCAGTACATGGGTGAGATAGGAGGTAACATTTTCATTAATGTAGCTGCCTCAGGCTTGATTGAATTGCCCGGCGCTTTCTTGTGCATTTATTTTATGGAATATTTCGGTCGTCGGAACACTCTGTTATCTGCTAACTTGATTACAGCGTTGGCGTGTATCTTGATAACGTTTCTGCCTCAGAGTAAGCGTGAAATTAATCATACTGAACTTTTTAACTGTTTGTATATTTTGTCTTTTTAGATTCAGAAATGGAACATTTCAAGTTTATTTTGGCCTCTTTAGGCATTGTTGGGTCCTCAATAGCTTTCCCGACTATTTATCTATTTAGCGGCGAGCTGTTTCCTACTGTTGTACGAAATGTTGGAATTGGTACAGCTTCTATGTGTGCTCGAATAGGTTCTATAGTAGCACCTTTTGTTTCTTCGTTGGTATAAACAACCTACTATATTTGCAAATATTATATTATAAGTAATTGAGTATATCGCATTTTATTTTATCTTTTCAGGGAATAATTAATGTATATCTACCTCCATTAGTGTTTGGTACGTTCCCTCTAGTTGGTGCAGTTTTATGTTTATTATTACCTGAGACGAAAGGAAGTCAACTTCCAGTTACTATAGATGATGGTGAAAAATTTGGTCTTAAAAAGTATATAGAATATTTTACTTTAAAGATTTTTTTTAATAACAATAAATTAAATATTTTGATTATATAATTTATAAGCTAATAATTCAAATATTTGCATGATTGAAAAAACACAAAGTTCCTTTCGCATTATAAAATATACATACAATCGAGTTATCTACACAAATAATTTTGAACATACTGGTTCATTATTCACAAAAATTATTTTCTTAATTAAGGTTTTTGTAAGTGGACTAAAGTCCCTTTGACTTTGAGTTGAGTATTACAAAGAACAATATCGGCCTATAGTTACATAAATTATTTTATAAGTTTAATTTATTCTAAATTTTTTGTTTTATTTTTTTAAAAATTATTCAGGAAAGTTCAACCATCAAAATCAACAAACGGAACAACTAATATTGGTTTTGTGGCCGACGAACAATTATAATACATTAAATAACAAAAAAAAAAAAAAAACATTATGAATTTTGAATATTCAAATAGACAATGTTTTTAGACATATTTTTCTCATCAAAGTTAACTAAATTTATGTTTATGACATTTCCTTATGATGGAATATATACATATTAATATATTTATATATCAAACAATATTTTTCAACATCAACATAAATAGAATAATGATTAATATAAACATTACATACAAATATTTGGCTCAGAATTTTTACTAACTACAACCTCATCTAAAAGTTTAGATAACTCCAATGTCGTTGTAGTAACAGTAAACAATTTGTATTATACTTACTTTGTATTATTCCTACTTATAAATCTGTGATCATTTTTATAATACATTTTCATTAATTTTTTATAATTTTATATTTATTTTAAATCAATGCATATTTTGGTGGTCCTTAAAATAAAAATTTTCAAAAAATTTGATTTAAGCGCACCAAAAAATTGTTCTTCTACATGTAACGATAAGTTGACCAAAATTTGGCCCCGATCATTAGTAGAAAACTCATAAGTCAAATATTTACCCCCTAAAAGTCAAAAGTCCCATAAATATTATGTTTACTAGTTAAATTTATATATTTTGGCAATTTAAATATAGATATATATACGAAAACCATTCAAGTTAAAAAAAAATTTTCATGTAAAAGTTGTTTAAAATTAAATTTTTTATAAGTTTTGTAGAAAAAAAAAATTGATTTACTTGTTTTCTGACGAGGTTCTTTATGTAAAATAGCACATGTATAATTTGTTTCCTATAAACTTTTACATAAAAATCATACATTTTGAGATAAAGCACAATAACTGAAAACTACCACTTTGATCGAATTTTGAATCCACTTGCGGCACGTGTAAACGTCAACTTATCGGTGTCAAATTTTGCTCAGCTTTTTTTTACATGTAGTAAAACAATATTTTGGTGCGCGTATTGAATTTTAAAAATTTGTATTTTAGAGACCATCCTAAATAAATACCCATTGGTTATTTCTAATTGTAATAATCAATAATATTTTATTCAATTTAACAATTTTTAATATAGTTTTGAAAAATCATATATTTAGTTTTTATTTGATAAATTAAAAAAATTTTTTTAAATAATATTTACTGTCATAAAACGTGGTTAGTATTTGAGAATTAACTATAAAGTATAGAATATTTAATTGTATTATATTTCACTATATATAAAATAAAATTATTATATTTTTAAAATTGTAAATATTTCACTTGTAAAATATATTCTTATATGTAATAAAATAGTAAATCACTTATAAAAACAAAAGGTTTAAAGGAATCATTTAAATATATCCTATTTCCCCTAATCATCAATATAAATTAATTATACATTCTCATTTAGCGTAACAATAAACGGTTTTCAAATAAATTACATTTTTTATGATGAAAACCTTAAACTATAACAATACGCCAATGAATTTTTATAATACAACAGGGATGTTATAAAACATTTTTATTCTATTTTAATTTTGTTTTTCTTGTTTTGCTTAAAGGTTGAGGTCCACTTTGAGTGTTCGTTTTCTCTTTTTGAGAAGATTTGTCACGTTGTTTCAAACCTTCTCAAGGGGGGTTTCTGTAACGTCACAAATTCGAAGGTGGACCGTTTATGATTTTTTGTTTTGTCTACTTATTTATTTTATCGTGCGAAAGAACCTTTTTCTGACACAGCGGTGTCAACCACTCATTATTTTGCCGCTGACCGCTAGATAAGGCGATAAAAGAGAAATAACATTAAAATCGAAGACCCCATAAGACAAATGTAAATTTTTGATGTTATAAAAACAGCGTGTTTAAAATGTAACAACCATGATAAAAAGTCAAAATGGAAATTAAATTAAAATTGCATTAATTTAATCACTAAATTGTCTTAGACTAAGGACTGATGCTAAGAAGGTATAGGAGTTATTCCCTTCGTTAAGCTCATGCTTTAATAGTTTCTGTAAACCGAATTAATATTTATAAAAATGTTATTTTGTTATTAAAAAAATTGTATATTTAGGGATCTGCAAAATTGTTTCACAAAAGTTTAATTTCAAATACCGGCCCTGCCTTGACTAATCAAAATAGTCGACGGCTTTTTAAAAACTTTGTATAAAAATTGTTTTTATTATAACAAATAGTTAAAAAGCATGTCATTTAAATTTAAATTATTAATTGTGTTTTAAGAACTTTACCTTTTATTTTTTAAGGGACTTAAATAATAATGAAATATAATTATTTCTTAGAAATTAAAAAAAATATTACTATAATAATATTTCTTATAGGTACTAAAACTTATGTCTTTTATATTATTTATAGTTCTATAATTTAAAATGTTTTGACATAGTTCATAAAAGCTTTTAGTCATGTAATTACCATACTATTAACAATGTATTTAACATTAATATATAATAAAAACATTTTTTGAAAGAAATATATAATTATTTCTAAATACTTTCTATCAAACATAAAAGTTAGTTTAAAAATAGATGTTATTTTCTTTTTAATATTCAATATGTATTTTACTCTTGTCAAAATGCTACTCTTTATACACAAGGAATTGTCAAAAATATTTTCTAAATTAAGTAATTATTTATTTAACAATAATTTAATTTATCTCTCTTTATATTGTTTTAGATATCAAAAACAGTTATAATCTTCTATTTGATAAAAATATTGTATAATTTTTCAATTGAGAGTTATTTTAAATATTTCCATAAATGTACTTACTACTTACAAACTAATTAAACTAAATAACCATTTTTAACAATTATTTTTGAAAAAAGACAATAATTTTGGTATAAGTGTAAACAAATACTAAAACACATATAACAAAATTTAGCTTATTACGATATAACTAAAAAAGAATATTTGAATATTTTATTAAACAACCTATTGTTACATGCCAGGTTACATCGCAAATAGTGAAATACTTGTGTTCAAAAAAGTTTAAAAGGATCCAACTATAGAAATAAAATTTTTATACCCTCAGGACCTGCGCCGTCTTAATAATATCAAAAAAAATTATATGATACTTTTATAATATATTTACATTAAAATAGGAAATAATATAATTAAAAAAATGACTGATCAATGACAATTTTTGGACCAGTACTTCAGAAGTTATTATCATTTTAAAATATAGACTGGAGTATAAAAATGCTTATAACTTTGAAAGAACTGGTCCAAATGTTATTATGGACCAATCATTATCTATTCAGATGACTTATTATTTTATAAACTAGTAAAATATGTATGTCATCATTAAAAAAAATGAAGCGACAACTTAATTATGATGTAAGGAATGACAATAAAAAATAATTTATAAATAATAAATGAAAATTTTTTCCCCATTTTTATTCTAAAATTATAATTATAAATTTGATGAAATCTTAAAAAGATGGGAAAAAATATCGACATTTTTAATAGCTAAAAAAATAATCTGTTAATTATTACAGATTATTTTAATACGACCGAATGTGAAGTTAAAGAAACTTCTTGCATATTATGACGATTGAAGTTTCCTATTAAATGTAAGAAAAACACTTATAACCTCTCCTTCTGGACAATCGGACTTATATTTAAGAAGTGGCCAGCTATACTAAGATAAATTACACAAAGAAAGTGAAGTATATTAATTTCAAAATATATCCCAAACATTAGAAAAGTAAATAATAATATTTTACCAAAAATCTAAAAGGTTCAAAGTTATGAGTACGTAAATTAAGTAGGAGTAATGGAAAACGAAGTAATTATTAAAAATAAAATATAAATTGAACTTAATAGGTCATTAGCGTTTATATGGAACTAACTGACTGGGTAAAACCTATGGCATGTGTCTATTTAAAGGGCCAAAATAGTGATATTATTATATAGTTACTATACTACTCTGTGTAGATTTCTATATTACGATTTCAATACACGTAACGTTATTGATATTAAAGAAACTAGTAATTAATCATAATCATTTTTATATTAATAAATACATTATTATTTTATTATTTATATCATTCTTACAAAACCCTATTTATATCCTAAAAAATATATTGCTTTAATTAATACATAATTATATAACCTATCATTATTTCAATATTCAACTAATAAAAATTATTTATATTTGAGTTATCATCACAGTTCCCCTATTTATAGATTTCGCTTATAAAATAAAATTGTAAATATATTTCTAAAATTTTAAATTAATTTATTACATTTTTACAACACTATAATACATTTGTTGAATGTTAGTAAACAAAGTGATATTTTTACACTGATTTCAATAAAACATTCAATTCAGTACATCATAATATACTAAGGTAAGCTACGTTTAATTTTTATAACAATTAAGTTGAAATAAATTTTAAATGTATTTTAGTTCATTTGATCCACTGATGTAGTTTCAATCGATTTCATTTTAGTTATTTTTAAGTAATTAAAATTAATATAAATCCAAAATTTTGAATTGAATAATATTTTTTACTTTCAAGAGTTCATAGGAGTTATTACGACATAATATGAGTGTCGTGTTTTTTATATTATAAAAAAATAGTACTTTAAATAAAGTTCTTGAACACGTATTATTTAAACAATAACATTTTTTAAATCCTCATAAAATAATATATTTTACCATTGTAAATCTGAATTTGTAAATTCAGTAAAAATAGTTATGGTAAAACAGTGGGTGGTCAAATGATTTTGATATTGAAGGCAATGAAAATATTTGATCAAAATTATCATGTAATCTGCGCCCTCCGTCATACATCATAGCTTTTATTTGTATTACTATATCAAAATATCATTACAGACCTTTAGAGATGTATATATATATTTCTTCTTATTAAACCAAAAAAAAATAAATAAATAAACAAGACTTGAAATTTAATTTTCCAAATTCATAGGATTAATCATTTTTTCATATTAATTAATCATATAAAATTCTAAAATCATGTTCTTCTTCTATATCTTCGCCTTAAACCCAACTACTTGGGGACAGCCACCTTTATCTTAAATTTCCACTTAACACTTTCTCCGACATCAAAAATATCAAAAAACGTTTGTCTGTCCTTTTAATCTAATAAAAATATATTAAATATAACAAGTTTATAATTAAATTTGAACCAGAGAAAATTTATTTAAAAAAATAAAAAGTGAAAAATGCTAATAGATCAAAAGTTAAAAGAGTTGTCAGTTAGATCTGTTTCATTCTGTGTACTAAAATATTTGGTATCATTATTATCTTCCAACAAGTATTTATTTATTTAAAACTATTTTCCACGTTGGACAAAATACCGTGTGGTTGCACACCTGCGTGTCCCCGCGGGGTCTCGGTGTACCTATTAAATTAACGCGTTTTTTCATGAAAATGATATGAGCTAAGGCCAACTATATTAATATATTATTAGTATTTGAGGAGAGAGTAATTGATGTGTTGCAAAGCACTTTAGATAACTGCTACGAGATTCCTGTTCCACATCAAGTGCAGAATTCTGAGAACACCTGAATACGAAAACAACCTAATACGCGGGACTGGCTTAAATACTAACTAACGGAACAATACGTATAGTCTTTGTTTTTATCGTCCCACATTTAAGATTTCACGTTAATCGCGTTCGTCTTATGAATCCCTGGTAAAGTTTTACAAAAACATCAACGAATCGTTCAACAATTATGTAACTGCGTCGTGGTTAATAATTACAAAAAGAACGTTCTCTTTCTGAAACCCTGTTACCATTTTCCAAATATTTTTATAATGACAGCAAAGTGTTGTGTACAACGCACTGCATGAAGATCAGTAGAAACTAAGTTGCCTACGCGGAACGCCTTAAAGTAGAGCGCGCCTCGAATCTGAATAGTTTTTTCTTGATTTGAAAATTTTCCATTAACTTTATTATAATCAATTAACAAATTATCATTGAAATTAAATTTTAATATATTTATATACAATAAACATGAAAATAAATAATAATTATCAAGTAACTAAAAAAAAATTATTAAACTTTTGATTGTTTTATTATTCTTGTATTAGAAATTTTATTAAAATAATTAATTGATGTAGATAATATAATAAGTAAAGTGTTTTAAAATGTGGAAAAATTACATAACTGATAAGTAATTCATTTACAGGTATTTAAACACTATGTGTAAAAGATGTATTCAATGTATTTACAATGTTTCTAATCATACATTGTTGATACTTATAGGTCTATTAATCGATACTAAATCTTTTTTCTATGAGAGATAGGCTTACGATTTAAATATGAGTTCTAAGTTAAAAAATAAAATAACAGGTAATTAATGAGAATCGATATTTTTATTTTAATAAAAAAAAATCATGTTTTCATTTTTCATTAGATTTATGTCCAAGTAAGCAAAACGATTTTCAAAATAATGAATAAATAAAAAAAAAGTTTATAACATTTTATTGTAATATTTTAATTATTTAATTACAATTTAAATTAACAATAATGTTACTTAATGTAAGCTTCATCAAATCGTATATACTTGGAATACTGAAAACTTCATCAAAAAACTTAAAATTCCAGATAACATAAAAAGTTTTAATATATTTTTTTAAATGCTTACTTTCGTCCTGAATTGTATTACACTATTCATTTGTTTTTAAAAACACACAAGATTTTTATATTTTACATAATAACAAAGTCATCTTGTTATATAAACTCAATAAATTTATTAAGTTTATATTTAAATGCTTATGTAAATCAATTTAAAAAATAATAATATCACATTTAATAACCAACTTTTCTTTTTCTATTATATGTTTATGTTCTATTATATGGTTATATGTTTAAGATGCAAAATTGATCAAATCGAATTAAAATATTACTTTTATCAAAAAACTAATAAAAATTAACTATTAGTTAAAAATTAAGGAAATAACTATCACTTAAGCGATAGTAAATATAACTAAAATGATTTTGATTTAAATATTTTATAAAAAATTGGAAATGAAACATTAACATGTGGCTAAATTACTTTAAGTTTTATAGTTAAAAATTTATTATTAAAGTTTTAAGTTAATCAAATAAAATTTTTTATATTATCAATTTAAAAAAAATTTATTTGACCGGTATTACTTTCAGATAGTCGTAATGCCGACCGTATGTAAACACTATTGGAATATTTATGAAATTCAAATTAAGTATGTTATAATTAAATGAATCTTTTTCATCTTTTTACTCAATTTTATCTCAAATACTTGGTGTTGACCATTCTTATAATAAAATTCCACTCGACAATATCATCTACATCATCTACACAGACATCTGTTGTCCTCACATCGCATTATCATTTTTTGTGAGATTAAGGTCAAAATAAAAGTTATAGCATTTTAGAAAATCAAAAATATGAAATATTTTTATCCGATGATAAATATAATTTCTTAAATACGAATAATAATGCAAAAAATGACTATGAAACTAATTAGAATATGCCACTAAATTCATAAAAAAAGTCTCTAATAACAACGTAAATAACCTGAATGTAACAAAATTTCACTTGATAATTTTTCACAAATACCATTCAATTGATTACTGACGTCTAAAGAATTCACCAACAACGAAAGTCTAATTATAATTTTTTAACTGCTAGGTTTTTAATTATTATTTCAAGATGAATATGAATAAAGAAAATACGTGTTTTACCAACTATGTTCTTTGGAAGATGTTTCAACACTACTCGTATGTGAGCTCATCAGACGTCCAGAATGTTATTACATGGAAATATATTTTGAATTTATTATTTTTTACAACACCATTACTCATAGAAACTTTAGCTATTGTATCGAGTATTATTGGATCTCAAAATTTAATATATGATGTCTACGCTTTGATTCAAAATGTACTAGAAGCACTTGGAGCATTAATGGCAATAATTACAGTCAAAACATTAGCTGAACAATCGAATTCCATTTGGAAACTGATAAATATGATACGTGAAGATTTGTTTTGTACAGAATATAAAAAATATGTGTTACAATGTTCAAATAATATGTACAAAAGGTTCACAATAATTTATGCTTCTATTATTATATTTTTATGGTTTTCATGGATGTTTAGTCCTTTAATAATCAAAGATCTGCCTATAAAATGCGCTAATAATGAAGTTATTGTCTATAGAAATAATATCGTGAATGCATTTTACAACGTTATACCATTTAAAACTTATAATAAATTTTTCTTAATATTTTGGTTGATTGAAACTTTTGCTTTGGCTCATGTTTTCTTGAATTTATTCGTATTTGACATCATATTAACGTCATGTTGTTGGATGCTAAGTGCAAATATGGAAATGATTTCTTTAAAATTTAAATCTTTGGGCTATGAAAAAGTAATCAAGTGTAAGTATACCATAATTTTAAGTATCTAATTAATAAATTTCTTTTTATTATTGATAGATTACAAACTTTTTTAACATTCATAGGCATAGTGACTATGGGGGCATTTCCCCACTAGAAATTTACCAAAATTATATGCTTTCAGTGACTTAGTATTATTGATTATTCGAGTTTTCTTAAATAGCGATGCAGAGTAAAAAATTTTTAGTTAGTAAAAAAAAATAATAATCTTCTTCGAAATTATTCTCTGGTTGCCCACTGGTATATAAAATTATTTTTTGGAGGAACAAAAATTAAATTTAACCCCCCAAACATTTGACGTAAAATACGCCTATGATATTATTTAAAATTAATAATGGATTAATTGTTATTTTTAACAATTAACATATTAACACGTTAAAACAATATCTTGTTTTTTAAATAACTTTAAGAGTAGTTCTTACTATTTATATCCTTTTTTTATCGAGTAAAATATCAAATAATCTGTTATTTAAAAAAATCTATACTTTGTTATTTCCTCGATAATATTGATTTCATTATAAACAATTTATGGTCATTAATAATAAAATGAAAATTTTGACACCAAACATTATACTAACATTATTTTAAAAGTGATCGATACCTATTTTTTACTGGTAAATTTTTACAATTTTTTTTATTGTTTCTTTCTAATGTGCTTTGTACAAAATTAATTAGCATCAAATCGTAAAAATATTATTGAATGATAATTTGTATTACAGCCAAATCAAATAGTCATTCTGCTATACAAAATTTGAAAATAGTTATATCACAACACATGAAAATTGTTTCGTAAGTTTTTATTTATAAATTTTAATATAAAGTTAAAGGCAAATTTGCCTTAACAGTTTAAATAATCTTATAAGATTTGTAATAGACCAAAAAGAAAAAGTAAAACAGGAAAAATAATAAAGGGAATAGTAATATGGATAATATGATAGTAAAAAGGTAAAATAGTGTAAATTCTAATATGAAGGTGTGAGTGCTTATAATATACCTAAAGAAAATTAGAGGGCTCATTTTCAGTTAGATAAAAATATAATGTTGCGGATATATAACCGAATAATAGAAAATTAGACAAAACAATAAATGGCGGAATAACACATGTTTCAGTATGACAAAATATATAAGGGTGTAAAGAATATAATGATATGAGTAAAATGGGGTTTAAAAGGGCGAATAAACGGAGTTTAAATACATGAGGGTAAAATCGTTTAATTATAAATAATGCGAAACCGTTACACAACATCTATGACTGTTTTATTATATGTAAGAGATTTTGCATACTCTATGTTTTATTATAAATATAATTCAAGACTGTACCCTTATTTGATTTTGTTGAATAAGTATACTTTAGTGAGAATATATTTTATTGAGAGACACTAATTTTTTTTAAATATTCCTTTGGCCTGGTTAAGATAAGATTAAAAAATATTAATATTTGTGTAAAAGATTTATCAAGGCGGAATTGTGGTGGCCCAATGTGTCGCAGCGCTAGCGCCTTGAAAGGATGCGACACAATAATCACCAAGACAATAATATAACACTAAAAATATATTCGTAAGTTTCTCTATACTGTCTGTCGGAACACAAATTCCGTTAGAACAAAGACATTAAGCTCAATGACTAGCTACCTAATACACATAGGCGTACAAATATTTTTTAACCTAATACACCTAAATCTTTAATTGTAACCTTTACTCTGTCGCCGGCACAATGTTCGTTAAAACAAAGACATTAAATTCAACGGCTAGTTACCCAGTAAGTAGAGAGTTGCAATACACTTACTCCAATAAAAATATTATTAAATTAGTTTCAATCTGAAATAATTGTAACCTTTAGTTCATTTGAATCAAAGTCGATTTGGGTTTATTATAAAAATAAAATAATTATAAAATGTTTGAGGTTTAAAATATTAATTGACATATATTTCCACGATAAAATAAAAAATAACTATTATATCTATAAAAAAAACGGTAGCACAGTGGGGTCGCGGCATAGTGGAGACATTGCATAGTTGGGTTCAGTCTAGATTTAATCTGACAGTGATTAAAATCACTATCATAAGAAACGCTTCGATGCAAATCTGTAGATAGTGTTTAATTTTAAAAAATTGTTGGATAATTGCAAAAGCAACATCAACTTCTATTAAAATAAAATACAAAACCCATAATTTTCATACAAAAATAGCATATTTTTGAATATGGTAGCCATTTGCGTATAGAAGATAGGTCGTCGGGACAAATTTTTTTTTTTCATTTTGTAGTACATAAAATAAGCTTTAATTTTATATATGTTTAAAGGACGCAGTATTTCCGGAACATT